ACGTGTTAAGACCCCTTATTTACGCGGGAAACTGCACAACAGGCCGCACGCTTCACTAACTGCACAATGTGAAGCGCGCTTTTCTGCAAGGCCGTGGTGGAGCGCTCAATCGCTACTGGCACGCTGATAGTTGGGCGTGCTTTACAGCAAAGCAAGCACGGCGCTGGAACCATGCGAAAGATGATGCAATGTCTGTGCGCCTGCGCCGATTAGCTTCACGTGCTTATGCGGCCGCTCCATGTGGGCTTGCGTCCGCGGAGCGCAGCCGCGGTGCGCCATGATCGCGCCAAGAGTTGGCAACCCTGTACAAACTTCGGCCTTCGCCAGCTGCACTCGCACTTTGAGCCGACGTCAATCGCGTACAGTAATAACATTTAGCGAACAGCCACGTAGTCCGTATACTCGTTGCCAGCGAACGTGACCCCAATTAAGTGTCAGCCGAATAAAAAATCTGTTTAATAGGCGAACTTAGAAATTTGGTTTCCCGCTTATTACGCCTCACGCAAGAAACGAGAAGCAGGTTTTTATATATATATATTTCTTACGAGGGCTCATTTTTAAACTTGTGGCTTTACCATGGAACACCTATGCTTTACCATGACCCCGCCCCATACAATGCTAATCGATACGCTATACCCTTTGGCTAATTTCAACCCCTACAATATATCTAGTTTTAAGCATAGAATTACATTTCACAATCCTAGCGTTAATTACATTACCATGTACATTACTCATTTCTCAGTGGCACACACTTTGGAGTAATGCCATTAAAAAAAAATAGCAGGTCAGTGGCATCTTGCGTCGGTCCTACAAATACTGAAGATTCTGGTGACTCCAAGATGACAAATGAAGCACGCAACGAATGCATAACCAAAGAACGCCCATAGCATGGCCTCAGAGATTAGGCAGAGAAGCAGTGGCGAAACCCATGGAGCCAGTATATTGACTCTGTTGCAAAACCAGCGCATACTGGCGAGGATGGACCGAAGAATTACAATACCCAGGCGTCAGTACGCACTGTTTTTGCCTTGGTGTGAACAATAGCTCTAAAAGTGTTATTCATAGGTGTTCTGTGGTTATTCCAGAAAAGCATAGGCTATGCATTCTGCTTCGCGCTTTGCATCTCACCCAATAGGTGGCTGTAGTAACCTGCACTTAGAGGCGAAAATGCTCGAAGCCCGGGTACTTAGATTAAGGTGCACGGTAAAGAACCCCAAGTGGTCGAAATTTCTGGAGCCTTCCTCTACATTGTCTGTCATAGGCGTATTCTGATTTTGAAACGCTAAACCCCAGTAATTAATTATTTAGTATCCCGTACTACGTGGGCGGTTTACTCTCGGGGCGGCACCTGTGACATGTCAGTCTGATAAAATGCGCCACGCTACAGTTTCGTTCTGCATTTGTGCTTTTACGATCTTTCAAAAAGGAAAGTGGTATACTTTAAATTGGCACAGATTGCTATAGTTACACCTCCATAACTATCGTAAATAACAGTATATTTACAAAGGCGCGTCAGGACACAAGCCGCCGTTTGAAATGAGAGTTACTTTCTCCGAAGAAATTGTAAATCACCGAGACCATCTATTACCGTTACAGAGTAAGTGATAAGTATACAACGGTCACTTGAGCTTGTTGATAATCTATGGCTAAATCCACATAAAACTTGAAGGGTGCCGGCTTGGGCGAGTTCGTGGGTCAGGATAATATTCATAGCACGAACTCAATAGAGGGACAAACTCAGTACACGTTCTCATGTACCTTTTTGTCCTTGTAGTGAGTTCGCGCTATAACAATTATCACAACTCAAATAACAAGGACAAGGGACTTCACTCATTCTCGTCATCCACACTGTACGGACCTTTGACCACGTACGGTAATGTAATCGAGTGCGTCAACATTACCTTTCTTCCTGCACATATTGCTTATCTTCACTCGCTACTGCTTGATGAAGAAGCATATCTGATACTTTCACGCGTTATAGATTACCCACGAATGCAGGGGGAAGTTTTTTTTTTCACAGCTAAAGACCAGGCCGCTGTACGGACCTTAATTGGATAATGGATTTGCAACCCGTTTTAATTTAAAGTTAGTTCGTATAAGACTATGAAGTTCATTGTTCTACTCGTAAGCTGCAATTATTTTGTAAATTAGTTGCTCCCTTGAAAGAGACAAGCCTATTAGTCAAGTGATTGCCTTCGTCACTTGTGGCAAAACCACTTATCGAATCGTTGGTTCAAGCGACATGCAGCCCTTGTTCCAAGCATTTTGAATGACTTTACAAGGCAGATATAGTATGTCATTTAGCTCGTACCGAGAGGGCAGGTGCAGACTACCAGAACTGCACCCCGACCAGTAAGCTGCTTTAGTGCAAGTTTCACTGTAGCAATCTTTTATGTACTACTTTTATGTGCATAGATTCCATTGAATATACATAACACCAAGTGAGATAACTTCCATGAGTACAATTTCAGTGACATGATTCAGACTGAATTGAAAGGTTGGTTACTTCGTTAGCGCCGTGATGAAGTATTGTTCCAATCATGGCGTTTTGCAAGGACCGCTTTGAGGAGACAGCGTTCTTTGCAACGATGCAGGTTATTGTGGAGCAAATAGTGGGCAGTTGCGGTGATGCTATAGGATGTGCAGAAGAAATTCAAGGTTCGTAATGTTGGGAATTGGTGAGATGAAGTCGCAACTCTGCAACAAAGCAACTATGTCTTGTTCAGGGGGTTTGGCAATAAAATAGCCTAACAAGACTTGTCAGAAGTACTAACATTGTTTTATTTGACAGCGTTTGAAAGAAAAATTTTCATAACTTGTCCTCGCACGGGCGCCAACGCTTGGTTACCAGGGAACAAACGTCATCAAAGGCAGATTCCTGTTTTGATCGACTGAAGCGAAACTGCAGTCTTTCACATGAACCAAGCTCCTAACTGGAATAAAGCGAAACAAACTTTCATCCTCGAAATAAGCGCGCATAGTCGCCTACTGTAACTCAACGTGAAGTCATATCTACGAAAAAATAAATAAATAAACAAGCTGGGGATTAAGTGTTTTTAGCTTAGTGGCTTTGTGAGTGTACAAAAAGGAGTCTGAGGAGCCCCGATTCCACCGACCTTCCTATAAACCACCAGGGGCAATATTTCGATTTCGACATTTCACCCACGTGCAGTTGCAGAGTTTTCTGTCAAGCGAAATGGGGAGCATTACGTTTTCATACGACGCGCCTACTTGTTCACGACGAACTTGCTAACAAAGCGAATTAGGAGCGATCATATGAGACAACCATATACAATCATGCATACTTATGCCACACATTTCAGAATTGCAGTGATCTAAAAAAATGCGTATGTGCAGTAAACCATGATAGATACAAATCTACTGAATTCCCGCACGTCATTTCAAATTTTTACATTTTTTTGTGGTTTAGAGAACTGTCACTTGTACGGTGTTTTCATTTTGGCGCAATCGAGCTTTCTTGAAAAAAATATGGCTCAGCTGGATAAAAAATATGTCCATTTATCACACACACAAAAAAATGAACACTGAATAGACCAGAAATGCCAGTTATTAGCACCGAGAACGAACAATAGCGTCGCTCTAGTCGCGGCGAATTGACGTCACGGTACGGACTCGCCTGCTCCGACGCCTACCTGTGCCGACGGTTGCTTCTTTACGAGCCCGCCGTGTTCCCGCTTTTTTGTGATATGATGGTGATTTCTTCTCAATTTCTAGTAGTAGGTCACTGAAGGTAGAAAGTTAAGATATTTATTGCTGTTAAAAGTTGACTAAGTTGCAGAAAGTATGGATTCACTTTGAAGGTGCAGGACAGCGAGGCATTAGTTGTTTTCAACATGCAAGTACTCGACGAAATGAATGCTGAGAAATTATTCGTGCTAAATGGGTCTAACTTCATCACAACTTGGCATAGACTGCGCGAATAAATATTTGTGTCGAAGTATTACAAGTGAAATTAGGACCTTTTAAGTTTACTCACAGCATTTCTATTTACCGTAGCAAGTTATGCCTGCCTTTGCAAATAATGTAGCTCATTACACAGAATTCCGCTTTGAGATGCAGGAGACTTTAGATGGATCTGTCTTCCATACACAATCACTTATAATAGCGACAAAAAAGTTACGCTGCAAACCACAAAATGGTTTCCGGAATTTTAATTTCATTAATTAATTTATTTATTCATTATTATTAACTACCCAAACACACCATATGATTATGAGAGACGTCGTAGAGGAGGGCTCCGGAAATTTCGACCACCTGGTGTTCTTTTTCGTATTTCTGAGAAAACTGTATACTCGGATGTCATGTAGAGATTTCTTCTCATCAATCGTCAGGATTACGCAGTGGGATACCCTGATTTACAGGAACAGCTGAAAACTGTACGGCTCCGGAAATTCAGAACAACTGGGCACTTGGGGCTGCTAACCTGAATTGAAACATTCTTTGTCTCATGCCAGCGTGGCTCTGCTGAAGTGAGGCAAAAGGTCCCACTTCAACAATACTTCTGAAGCGGCTGTGCTTCAGCGTTTCTGAAGATGTTGAACATAATTTGGCTAAATCTAGCACACACACAAGTGCACTACGAACACGTGAACACAACACTGTTACAAATGCAGCGACGGCCGGCGGAGCCGGCGCGCAGCAACGCCACGTAACTTTTATTTCTGGTAATTCACTTAGGTACTCCAATCAGGAGTTGAGTGATCCTGCGGGTCCAGCTGCCGCCGTAGCAATTGTAGAGAAGGAGTTCGAGCTGCCAAGACAGTCTCATTACCCTTCTTTCTCGGCGGAGTGTGCCGTCCGCTTGCAATCTCTCGATCCGGCCAGATAGGGGTGTGTTGTGGCATCTTTGGCCGAGATCCTCTCGCCAGAGCTGTAAATAGGCATCCTCAAAAGCAGATCTACAGCCTCGCAGTCCACCCCAGGAAGCAATGTGGCCACGATATTCTCTCTCCATATGGGAAAAGTCGACTTGTAGTTTTTCAGCTGCATAACTTCGGGCTAGCTCTGTACTGTCGGTGTATAGCCACGAAGCAGAAGATTCGGAACAGCTGGTCAATCGCCGAATCCCCACGTAGCAGAGTTTTGCCGGTCAGAAGCTCGAAAAAGATGCACCCGATACTCCACACATCCACCAGTGTCGAGTAACGACTGGCACCCAAGAGCATCTCCGGTGCACGGTACCAGTGGGTGCCCACTTTGTGAGGGAAAATGAGCTCTGGTTGCGTAAAGGCACGGGACAAGCCGAAGTCGGTCACCTTGAGGTCGCCGTTTCCGTCGACAAGCACGTTGGCTGGCTTGAGGTCGTGGTGCAGAACTCTTCTTTGATGGCACAATAGAATGGCTGCAACAGTGTGACCGAGGTACTTCTTAACGACGGCGTCATCGAAGGTCCTGTTCTTGGCATGACAATACAAGAGCACCCTCAGGTCCATGGTCATGTACTCGAAGACCAAGTGTACAGCCTTCGACGGTACATATAGTGGTTTTGGGACGTTAAACCCCACATATCAATCAATCAGCCTTCGATGGTGGCATGATGACTTCTATGAGACGCACCATGTTCTCATGCTTCAACTTCTGAAGGAGGGCCACCTCTCGTATCGTTGTGGCTAGCATCCCTTCGTCTCCGTTCGACCCAGATCTTTTTTTTAGCGACGATCTTGTTGGTCGCCTTGCACTTTGCCTTGTACACGGCACCGTACGCACCTTCGCCAGTCTTCTCTATGATGACGTAGTTATTCATCATCCCAGGGACCCTATCTGATGCCAGAGAAGGCGGTGATACGTGCGGATCTGTAGTGATCTGTAGCTCGCCGCATGTAGCGTGCGCCGAGGATCGTTTGGACAAGAGCGGTACGGTTGGCAGCTCGCGAAAGCTGACCGCGCGCTTTGCCTGCTCGCGAAGGGCCACGTTTGCTTGCTGCTTGCTTGCTTGCTCCTTCTGATGTTTGGCTCATACCCACTATGGGGGACTGGGCATTAAACCGACGACATGTTTCTTTATTCCATTTATCCCTTTATTTGAAATATCTGGCCAACATTTTGTCTCAAGCAGCATGGCCTTCAGCTACAATGAAAAAATTATATCCAAACAACGCATTGGTGAACACAAGAAACAAAACAAACAATAAAGTTAGTACGAAAATCATTGAAAGACAGGGTCATAAAAACATAAAACATAAACATAAAACATAAACATAAAAACATAAACATAGAACATAAAAGAAAGCAGTAAGGGTAACCAGAAGAGTGCTAGACCTTTAAAACATGTTTTATGGGATATTGCTAAAAACGTCATCGGAGCTGAATATACTATTTCGTACCAAATTTGAATGCGCGACCGTGTCAGAGAAGCAACTGTAATGAAGTCATTTTGTGGGAGCGAAGATTGGTGCTAACGAATTTTCCTGATAGTGCCGTATTGTTCTTGTACTGAGACGCTTAACAGATGCTGGGAGAGATAAATTGATTTTACCTTTTAGGCAGCTGTGAAGGAATGAAAGGCGGTAAACATTTCTCCGAGCTTTCGGCGTTAGTATTTGAACTTCGTCAACTGTGTAGAGGAATCTGGACGTTTGTATTATACAAATATAAATCTCACTGCTTTACGCTGTACATTTGCTAGTTGGGAAATATCTTTCTGATAATGCGGATTCCACGCAATTGATGCGTACTCCAGTTTAGATCTTACGCAGGCATTGTACGATAGAAGTTTTATGCCACCGGGTGCTTACGTGATGCAAAGGATGACGGAGGTATTTGACTGGTACAAATATGATAATCATGACATACGTTTTCTAAAGAGCATGTTATTATACCAGGCTCATGATGTGCTCGCGGCCGTTTCGCCAGCTTCACATGCATCACGGGTATGTGTAAATGATTTAAGTAGCCCTCTTTGTTCGATACCTGTTCGTCCTCGCGTCCGCGTGTGCTGTGTCGCGCGTGTAACTTCTACGTTGTGCTGCATAGTTCCGAGCGTAGAAACGATTTCGTCATTGCCTTTCATTTCATGGTGTTTGTGCAGTGTCCACGATAACGATAAGTTAGGCCGATTTTCGCGAGTGCAGGCGCGACAGCGGGCTTTGTGAAGCAGTGCCAATGGTCCTTGAACAACTCTGCTGTCGCGACATACCGCAAGTTGTTCGGGAAAGTCCGGACTGCTCCATAACTCGGCACGAAGACTTCCGAAGCGTGTGCCGGCACTCCGCGGTGCTGCGTGCTGGAGAACGGCGTCGCGGTTGAAAGATAAGTGCGCAGGTAATAGTGTATCAAACAAACAAACAAAAAAGCATTTTGAAGTTGCAGTTTCAGCAACGTCGTCTTATGCATTCTTCCCGGAAACATCACTTTCTAGCGAGCCGCTTCTTCACGCGATGGATTTGGCAGAGGCTCAGGCGACGCAACAAAGTTGTATTGCCTGCGTGCGTAGTCACCGCCACCCGGAAGCAGTTTCCGTACTACGTGGGCTTCCGATATCCTTCTGTGCGCACGTTAAAGCTTTCATATCTTAACTTGAAATTAAATGGCAAGCTGCCCGTGCTTTCAACTGCGCATCAAAGATATCCGCGCATAAATAATTTCCGCATTCATGTCCTTTTACGTTGACCTGTTTTGCACAGGTTTGTTTTTTCCAATGTACTTATTATGCAATATCTCTCGCTCCAAAATAGTTGTGCTTCATGCATGATCTTTAAAGACAATAATATGTAGGGTGTCCTTACCGCATCGCTTATGATGATAATCGCAGACTATTCCATTAGTCCACAGTTAAAAAGTAGCACAATTGCCAAACAGAAGCAACTGCCAAACAGAAAACTCACCCAAACAAGAAACGAGGGGCATTTCTCAAATACGCCCATCTAGTCATTCTGTCAAACTTGTGATGCCATCTCAAGTACGTCTAGCTGTGTTTGGGCTGCTTCCCGCAGCGCACAGACGCAAAAATATGATGTAGCTCTCTCGCTCAATTCACACAGTGGCTTTTGTTTGCTGCTAGCCGTAGCACACATGTAAAAATAACATTTCAGGCACTTCACAAAGAGCAATTATGGCTGCATCGTTGCCTGACTGCCAGGGAGGCAGTTTCTTCAGTAAATTGTGGCTCTCTCGCTCGATTAATTAAGTGGCTCTCTGAGTGCTGCCAGCTGTATAACACACACGTTAAAATAGCATTTGACAGCACTTTCCAGAAATTAGTCATGGTTGCCCAACTGCCAAGAAGGTTTGTTCCATCGCACTTGTGTGTCAGAAGACTTCAGCTGCATCATCACTATGGTTGCATTCTCTCTGCTTAACCGTCCTTTTGACGTTCACCAGAGTGAGAAGCCTACAGCTGTGTCGTCTCTACGGTTGCATTTTTTCTGTTTCACTGAGCTTTCGACGTTGCTTCAATCCAATGAAGCTCTCTCGTTCGATCCACACAGTGGCTGTCTGTGTGCTGCCAGCCAGAACACACACACGTGAAAATAGATTTGATGCCAGGTTGATGGTAAGCTTTTGATGCTGTGCTAACTATTAATGACTCCCTGCCATGGTGGTCTAGTTCTCGGGGTATTGAACTGATAACCCGAAGGATGCTATATCAAATCTCGGCCGTGGCGGCTGAATTTTCAGTGGAAGCGAAAATGGTTGAGGCCTTGTACTTAGATTTAGGTGCATGTTGAAGAACACCATGTGACCGAAATTCTTAGCACCCTTCACTATAGCATACCTCATTATTATCGCATCACTGTTTTGGGGCATTGAACCTAAACCAACACCATCAGAATGAATGCATGTAACTGATTTGAAGTCGATGATGTTGGAAAGCATGTGTGCCTCTAAGCAATGAGCTCCTCCTTAGATGGCCATTCATAGGTGAGGGATATATGCCATGGCTTTGCTGCCTCATTGCTTGTAAATTTCCGATGGAGGCGGAAACGTTGTAGGCCCGTGTGCTCAGATTTGGGCGCACGTTAAAGAACCCCAGGTGGTCAAAATTTCCGGAGCCCTCCACTACGGCGTCTCTCATAATCATATGGTGGTTTTGGGACGTTAAACCCCACATATCAATCAATCAAATCATTGCTTGTAAAGCTCTCCTTATATGATGAGAGTTCACGGAGGTCCATGGCATGTTCTAACAGCCCTTAACCTAGCCTGCATGGTGAATAAAGACAAAGTCACTATCATGCAAGGACACATTACAAGATAAAAGTAATTACCATACTTACTTGGTGATGGGTCAACGTACCTAATGAATGATATAAATACAAAATTTTTTTTTGGGGGGAAGGGTTCGTGTGACAATAAAAAAATTATCTGGTGCAACTGGTGACTACCACGAACATGAGAATCACGCATGCTGTGGCATGGTTACAACCGTATATTTTCCTTCAGGCTCTGCTTTTAGCATATATTTATTGCACGCTTGTTCAGAAGAATTTTTTGTTTAACTATTACCTTGTCATTCCTTGTCATCTGAAGTGCCACAGTTTGTTAGAAGCGCATCTGTTCAATAAACAGTGAGCACTCCTTACCAGATGCGCACCCCTTTTTTGAACTGTTATTACTAGCTGCACCAGCTGAAAGCTCCTCAGCAGTGGCGACATCTCAAAAAGTAGAGGGTCACCCTCAAGCCTCCTTATATGAAAATTTTGAAAACTAGCTGATACAGAAACCAAGGGATATATAGAGTATGTTAATTGTGCTCTTTTATTAGTACTGTAGCAATAATTGTGACGTAAGTGTGAACAAAAGACAGCTTTGTACCTGCAGTAACCAAACCTACACCCCTCAGATTACATGCCCGATCATTTACCTTATTTAAACTACACTTCATGGTATCGCATTTTCATGTACAGTACAGGGAGTTGCTTTTAATGTGATAGCATAACAGAGCTCAGATGACAAAAATTTCGGTGTCAGCTCAGTTTGTTATAGTGAACTGTAAAATAGAAAAAGTTTTTCTGAGAGCAATGTCGCTACTTAAAGTATTTGGGGATGCGCTTGCTTGTAATGTAAAAACTTGTTAGAGCAGACAAAGTGGTGATGGGGGCTAGTTGTTTTGAGTCACTTGTGTTCATATTCGACAAAAAAAAAAACAGATGCAGACATAAGGACCAGTGCTCAAACTGTGTATGAGTGTATTGATTGCGTCTGTACATGTTTTTTTCGCTACAAATATGAAGAATGAAATACAAATGTTTAAGCAAATTTACGGTAGAAGTTTCTTCAAAGTTACACTAGTCCCAGGATTTTTTATAAGCTAGTATGTTATTCCTGGTTGTCTTCAATATTGTAATTAGATAACGCATGCAAGAGGAAACTTGCAAGTTGCAAGTGCGTCTACCATGATTACAATCTAAAAAGCCAGTTTTCAAGATGTTACTCATGTGTAAATATCCGCCTTTTTAGGCAATTTATCAGAGTGGGCCAAATTACTGTACATGTGCCA